AAATCCCGAAGGAACTCTAGTTGAGGAAGAATGGAATAATGAGATGGGCGACTTGGATAGATTGGATAAGGGTCCGCACGTTGATTGTGATAAATATAACAAATGTGGTCCATTTGGGTTCTGTAACTAAAATAATTCGCCAATATGTCAATGTTTAAGAGGGTATGAGCCAAAGAACAAGCCGGAATGGGATGGAAGGAATTGGAGTGGTGGATGTAAGAGAAAGACGTTGTTACAGTGTGAAAGAGATAATAACGCGACCGATAAAAGCAAAGAGGACATTCGAAAGGTTGACGACGGTGAAAGTGCCGGACTTTATTCAGTGGTCATCTGGTCCCGAAAATGAATGATGAAAATCTATGCTTAAGGAATTGTTCTTTCTTAGCGTATTCATATGACTCTTATAAAGATTGTGTGTATTATAGTGAGAGCTTAATTGACATTCAGCAAAACAAGGATGAGGGTGGTTTAGATCTCTACATCCGGGTGCCCTATCCAGGAACGCGCTATCTTATTAAGAGTAGTTGTCCACACTCTTATATATTATTTCTATATTTATTTGATGTGGGTTTATCCTTAATGATTATTGGGTGTTTTTAGTTTCAGATAAGAAAGACCGAAAAGTGAAAATCATAGTTTTGGTGATAATTAGTTTGGTGGTTGTATCCATTTGCTTATTCTTTCCTCGGCGGTGGATGGCTAAGCGAAAAGGCAATCACATAATAGTACAACATGAAGCAATATTGTGGGATTCAAATCCAATGATGCTTCAAAATCCAGAGGACAAAGTGAATATTATACACTCTTGAGATGCTCGCAGATGCAATAAACAATTTCCACTCGACAAATAAGCTTGGTGAGGGTGGTTTTGGTCCGGTTTATAAGGTAATTGTTCGTGCTTATAAATGGATTCCCTATTATTTCTGCTTTATATAAAATAGTCAATCTTGAAATTATTTAGAATTAAAGAAGTCAACATTATTAAGAAGGGTAAGTCAATGTTTTATATAAAATGTTGTTTATTATTTTATAACATTTTGATTTATGATTTATCTCTTTAACATATCTCAAGAAAGTAACTCGTTTGAGGAGAATTTTTTAGGTCTTTTAATAGGATGGAGTTGTTCGTTTGGTCTTAATGAATTTTGATACCGTATTAAAACTTAATGTTCCATCTTAAACGACCATCCTTGTTAAGAGGGGTAGTCTGATGACTTACATGTTGGTTATTTATTTTATAATCTTTCGATGGGGGGTTTCCTTTAAAATATTAAGAAGAGTAGCCCTATGCTTTATATGTTTGTTGTTTATTTTACGATACAAAATTTATCCCAAACAGAAATGAGTGATGTTTTTATGTAGGGAAAGTTGGCAAATAGAAAAGATATTGCTGTTAGTAGGTTCAAAAAAAAAAAAAAAATAAATAAATAAATAAAATACAAGAGTCTACACCGATAAAAAAAAAAAAATACACCGATCAAATAGAAAAGATATTTTTGATCTGTTAATAGATTAAAAAAAATACAAGAGTCCACCGATATATATAAATACAAGAGTCTACATTAATAGATCATGCAAACTATAATAAAGTGAAGGGAAAACTAATGCGGGCAATATTTAAATTTTCAGAAAAATAAAAGAGTTTGCAAGTATTTCACTAATTGAGGGAAAAATAATTAAAAAAAAAGTGAAACAATTTAACGGCAAGTTGAAAGTCGAAGTCGAAAATAATATAGCACAACACATTCTTAGTTGACTTATGATCATAGTAATTTTAAATATCACATAGAGTACGTAGTCCATATCAGATACTGTATTATCCAATATATATAATAGTGTTAACATGTTTGCACAATTAGAAATTAGTCAATTAGGTCGTTTGATCAAAAATTAAAAGTATTTTATGATTAATTAATAACAACTGAGATGATTAGTTGCTTGAATGGGTATATTCCCTAGCGTTATTATGTTTTAAACGTCTGCATTATGTTGTCGTTGTACTTAATCAATTAATAATTCAGTATTTTTTTATTCGACAAACGCGGTTTTTAGAACACCGTAGGAAATCGGAAATAGAGAAAAAAGAAATACTAAAGTATTGTCGCATATGAATTAACACTTTTACCAATTCGTACCGTATAGAATATGGAATTGGATGTTCAAATTGGATAGGATGAATAAATAATTTGTGCGTGATTACTGATGAAAAGTTGGTCGAGGCAGTAAGATGTGCCTAATGGATGGCGAAGAATCATGTATTTAAGTTTAATATTTGTTCGTTTAGTTCTTGATATGTTGTCGACTCCATATTAAAAGAGATATTAGAAATCAACAAAAAATTTATCGTTATTTTTCATGATATAACAATAAAGTGAATAAAATGACGATTGTATAGTTGATATTAAATTAATTGCAAGTAATCGTATATAAACATAAATAAAAACATGAGAAAGAAACAAAATACCGTCAAGTCAAAATACTGTACATTTTCTAACTGATTTTAGTACATCAAAGATGCTTTGGTCTTGACTCTTGAGTAATTATCAAAAACAAAAAATAAATAATTTTTTGCAATTTGGACAAATTTGATTCTTACGTTTCCAGTGGCAAGTTGGAAATCAAATTTGACGGCTACGAACATGTCCACCTTACTAAAATGTTATCGCCTGTTTAGACGTCAGACGGAGAAAATTCTGCTAGGTCCCTCTAGAATTGACTGGCAGTAAAGAGTGTTAGCTTAGGCAGAAAATTTCGACAAAAGAAGGATAATTATATGTAGGGTGTAATACTTGACAATGAATTCACCTTGTCAAAGCAAGGATACGTTCCTAAATAAAATCGTGATCATCAGAAAGCTTATGAATCCATTTTTCCGATCAGAATTTTGTTACATTATAACTGTTATAGTTATAGTCCTTTGTCTATCGAGTTATGGTGTTTGTCTAGAAACACGCACCCTTACGCCCAGTACAGTCCTCAGGGATTCGGACACCCTTGTTTCTCAAGGCAAGATCTTCAGTTTGGGATTCTTCAGCCCCAGTGGAACCACCAGACGCTACATGGGAATATGGTATTATGTATCCAAGGTGTCTGTCGTGTGGGTTGCCAATCGAGATCGGCCTCTCAATGATTCTTCCGGGTCTATAACGATATCCACGGATGGTAACATCGTACTGCTGAACGGAAACAACGAGACTGTTTGGTCCACAAATGCTACGACGTCCCCAAGAAATACATCTGCCCAATTAATAGATGATGGAAACCTTATTCTCCTCGATCAGTCGAATAATGTCCCATTATGGGAAAGTCACAAGCACCCAACAAGCGGTTTTCTGCCTACGTTGAGATTAAGTCACAACACAAATACAGGTGAGAAAGTAAGGGTAAATTCTTGGAGAACTTCTCAGGATCCAAATTACGGAAATTATTTCCTGGGACTTCATGTTTCTATAGGCATTCAACAACTTTTTTCATGGAATCAAGATCGTCCATTCTGGCGGAGTGGTCCGTGGAACGGTCGGGTTTTTACCGGAGTAATTAGAATGTCCTCAGAACATGTTGATGGATTCAGTATGGTAAATGAAGGTGGAACATACTATTTTACTCGAAGTTTTCGTCAAAATTTAATAGTCAAGGATATTTTAAATCCAGATGGAATTCTAACGGGGGAAATATGGAATAATCAGACGGGTCATTGGGATAGATCGTATAAGTGTCCGGATGTCGCTTGTGATGTATATAACAACTGCGGTCCATTTGCGTTCTGTAACCAACATAATTCACCAATATGTCAATGTTTAAGAGGGTATGAACCATTGAACAAGCAACAATGGGATGGAGGGAATTGGACTGGTGGATGCAAGAGGAAGACACCATTACAGTGCGAAAGAAGTAACAATGCGACCGATAAAAGCAAAGAGGACTTATTCTCACAGTTAAGGATGGTAAAAGTGCCAGACTTAATTCAGTGGTCACCTGGTCTTGAAAACGAGTGCAGAAGTCTGTGCTTAAGGAATTGTTCCTGTATAGCCTATTCTTATGACACTGATATAGGTTGTATGTACTGGAGTGAGACATTAATTGACATTCAACAATACCAGGCTGATGTAGGTTTAGAACTCTACATCCGTGTACCCTACTCAGAGC